ATAACGCGATCATTGTCGAGACATCCGACATCCTGCGATCAGAAGATTCCTCGAGATAAAGAGTTCCTAATTTATATACTTCGAAAAACCTTCCAACTCTTTCAGAGCTTCTGCTGGAAGGGTGTCTGCGTGCCACTCTTTGTGAAACACGGTTTTAAATGATATTGCTAATAATAAGGTGGGTGTATTTTTCACTCTTTTGCATTATTGGTCTTACCTTAAATTTTTGTTACCGCAGCTGTTAGTATAGCATAAGCTTTGCACAGAATAATCACGAACTTTTCAGACCTTTTTAATATAAAAGTTCATTTATATTAAAAAATCTGATAAGTTTGTGACTCTCAGGAGCGACTCATTCGGTATCTTTGGATCTCCATTGTTAGACTTCAGGTTGGGCAGAGAGGGTGCAGTGTCATTTGCCATAGCTAATGCTTGTATAGCCACGGTTCGAATCCATTCTGTCAACCATGCAGCCCACTGGAACCTTTCATCCTTCGAATATCAAGTGATTGCTTCCTGGTTTGTCTGAGACAACAAATGCACTAATTTGTACATCAGCCGGTTTCCAGAAGCCACCTTATGAGTCAGAGGCGCTCCATCAGCGCAAAGACTTTTCTGTCAAAAATCTAGAGTCTAGGGATTTTCTTTCTCACAAAAAAATGTCTACGTGGAGGTCAAATGAGTCATGGATTGCCGACCTTGTAACGATTTCTTCCCTGAGCATTTTGTGCAACGAATTCGGTCATTTTCGAAAAATCATTGACTCTTTTCATAGATTTGAATTCAGCAATTAGACCCTTGACTCCTTTTTTGAACGTCTCTTCAACGAATACTTTCACCTGAAACACTGGTAGGATGATCGTTCTTTTCTCTGTTCAGATTGTGCATTTCCGTAGAGTTCTTATCGCACACCTGAGCACGCTTCGCAGCTCTTGACACGCGACGCTGCGATGTTTCCTCGAAACTTTTAGCTGGCACGCTTCGAGAACTTGTAGCGGTCCTGAATCACATAAAAGGAATTTTTTCTTAGTCACAATAAAGCCTTCTCTAATAAGTACGGTTTCACGAGATGAACACTTCAGTGACAGACTCACTTTTGCAATGAAGGCGTATCATCCTCTCTGAAACAAGTACCTTTAGTGTTCAGGACCAGGATCCTTGAGAAATGTGCTGGAATTCGTCAGACGGGCAGTGCACGACTAAACGCTTGCTTCAAACAAATAAGAAAAGTAGAGATGCTCACTGACACCTATTATTCCTTCCTTTACGGCTTAAAAATATGAGTAGTTAGTAGCAACCCTCATGGAGTATTACAAACCGACACTGTTAACGTCAATCATTATCGTCCAATACATCTGGCATCTACAGTACGTTGCATAAGTATATGATCACCCTCGAATTTGGTATTTACAGGATATGCAGCCAAGCTTACTCAACTTTTATATTAACATTTATATGGATTACTTCCGGTTTTTCCTGCGTTTCATGAGCATAAGATCGTCCCTGACCGTACGAATGATTCGAAATCGGCTGCAGCAGAATTTGCACTCGGAGGTTTGCATCAATATGCACTTTGCCTCGCAGGTCATCTTTCTTTAGAAGAAAAAGCAAAATAGAAGTCTCTGTGATATAGGGTTAAGCATGAGGGCAGTTAGGAGCCAATTCATAAGATCCCTCAGTTCCGTTCAAAGATATTCGAAGACTACAGAGCTCTCACGAGGACAGCACGCCCGCGCATACTAACCGCGAACGACAAGCGGAGAATGCTAAGAGCCAATTCGAAGCAGAACCTTGTGGTTAAACCAAGTTCGATCAGAGTTCAGTCTCTTTGTGTCGAAAACAACCGTATGAAACGTGAAAAGGAGCAGCAGTATTGACAGGGCAGCAATGAAGTGGGCTCCGAGACTACTGACTACCACAGCAAAGCATGACTTGAATTTGCGAAGTTGAATTTTATTAGAGATTGGAGGAAGGTCAGCTTGTATTACCGATCAGCCATACAGTTCTATATTCTCGTCCTACAACTACTAATGGCGTGACTTACGAAAGTAGCCGATCAACTCTAGCCGCCGCAACTATGGTACGGGGTGCCTTCTGCAACAATGTTGAGCTGCAGCTTGTTTTCTTGACCTCTGAAATGGATCCAAGAACCACCAGGAAGTTTTCGATGGCACTTGTACCAACCCTCAGCGGGCGACGTGGTTTT